TAGCCTAAAAAAATGAGGTGTGGAAATTGTTTTAGTTTGTCACCAGATAAAAGTGCAACTAATTTTACTGACTGAATAGGTATTCTTGATCATACATGTGCTACAAATGTAACTGATTAGTTTTCTCATCTCATTCCAGACCAAGTTATGTGTTGAGCATAAGTTATGGGGATCTACTCTTGCAACAGAAAAAGCACCTTTGTGACATCGATAATTCTGATTTTAAGGCCAACATACCTCACTAACCCCTTTATCTCACTTTGTGGTAGACTACCACTCAGGACAATACCATGGTAACCAAAACACTGCAATAGTTAGAGGAGACATTTGTGTCTATATGATGCATCCATAGAGTTTGGATTCATCTTGACAATCTGGTCTAAAAAGTTATCGGTCCACTCTAAATCCAGATATGGAAACATCTAGCTTCAAACAAGAAAAACACGCCGAAGGCCAAAACAATAACATCAAGGCTATGTCTATCCTTTATATATCATTTATGGTTGAGAAGAAATCTATTTGTATTTGATGAATGAGTTTTTTTGTGGCACAAACCCACTTACACATTAAAGCAGTTGCAAGTTAAATCTATGTGTGCTTGTTTATGTCTGGGTGACATCTTTGTAGTTTCAGTATAGGAAAAAAGTTAGAAGTTGACTTGATGGGAAGGAGAACAGAAACTGAGGCAGGGAGAAAATTTGAGAAAAAGTGTGTGTGTGTGTGTGTGTGTGTGTGTGTGTGTGTGTGTGTGTGTGTGTGTGTGTGTGTGTGTGTGTGTGCGTGTGTGTGTGTGTGTGCGTGTGTAAGTTTGGGTTACAAAGATACTGTTGGTGTGCGTGAGGGTGTGATAGCATGGCTGACTGACTGGCCTATTGAAGCTGGACGAGATGAACGAAAGGTCAGGAGATGTCAGGCAAAGCTGAGAAGCACACATACAAACACACAGAGTCCATCTTATCCATGTAACTGAGTATGGATCAGAGATTCTCAGTGTGCAGGAGAGCATGAAATAAAATCAGGCACTTTTAGGATTGGGTCAGATCCTGTCTCTTACAAATCTGTCTTCGTGTTAGCATGAATGTTTCCATAAATTACCAGAAGCCTAAGGGAGGAAGTGCGTTGGAGTACATAAGATGCTGTCTCTACAGTAACATGTCTTGATTTGCCAGATTACGCTGGCGAACGGCTTGAAAAATCAGGTAAATGAAATTTGTTTGAATCTTTTAGAGTATAAAGATAGTTTAATGAGCGTTTCCTCATTTATGTCACTACAGATAGTATCAGTGCAACAAATTATTTGATCTCTTTTTCATTTTCATGTAAATTCTATTTTCATGCCTTCAAAAATCAAATAGTTTTCATTACTGAAGCTGATTTTGTAGAAGACGAGAAGGAAAGTATTAACTCTGAAAATTATGATGAAAAATCTTAATGATGACTTTATATGGTCAGGCGAAAAGGAAACTTTTGACTGGAGTCTATCCAGTATGCGAAAACTAATTACACCACATGAGTCAGTCATTTGTAGGACCATCTTTAGCGCCAATAATTTGAAATCAGTGTTTTCTATCTGATTTTATTTGTCTCTCTAACCTTAACACTGTAGAAGAGGATTGTGGGTATTCGTTTATGGACAATATTTCAATCAGGTTGTGATATGGATTTTGACTGGACCATTGCAACACCTTGATTAGCTGCTGTATTTTGGATCATTGTCCTGTTGGTCTAATGGACCACTGCAAGGTCATCACGTCCTGTGGCTGCAAAACAAGCCAAATTCTTACCCCTCCACCACTGTGCTGTTTGTGTTTGAGGAGTTTGTGTTGATATGGTGCTTGGTGTTGGCCAAACATGCAACACCAAGCACCATATGAACAAATTTGACCAATTTGGTCTTGTCTGCCCAAAGGACATGTTCTGCTCCAGAAGTTGTGTGTTCAGGTGCAAATAAGCCTGCCTGATGTGTTTTTATAAGAGCAGAGGCTTTCTTTGGCAGCTGTAACACTACATCACTAACTACCAATGATTCAATTTAATTCAGTTATATTTACAACAACAGTTGCCTCAAGGCCATTTGGATTGTAAGGTAAAGACCCTACTGTTAAGAATACAGTTAATATTTGTTCCTTAATGATAACTGATTGGACTACAGTGCCACACACCAACACAATTCTTCATCCTAATGAGGACACACAAGATCTTTGTTTTAATTTTTAATTCTGAAAACAAAGCAGACAAAATAAATTAAAACCAGCCCTAAAAGACTTCAAAGTGATAAGAGTAAACATCTACAGGTAGAAATGATGCTTCAAATCTACGAGCCTGAGCCATCACTGCCTTTGTTACTAGTTAGGCTCTGGCTGCTGGGCTGGGGTTCAGCATACTGTCAGCGTTAACATCACTCTCGGCTCTTTGCTAGCTTTGTGTTAGCATGCTGTCTGTGTATGCAGAGAGTTAAAAATTCTGTTAGCAGTATAATACAGTTATCCAGTTTGCACTTTACCATCGTGCTCTTGTCCTTTTGTGCTACAAAAACATTTTCCGTACCTTCAACCCTCAAAAGTTGTAAACTGCCCTTTCCTTCTCCCAGCATATAAACTCATATCTGCTGATTGTAGTGTAGCTGACGTGTGGAGGAAGAAAAGGGCACGTTTATTTTTTTCTTTTTATACTCTATTATTATTATTATTATGTTCCTACTATGACTGCTGGATGTTTGCCTACCAGCTAGACAGAAAGAAAGATTCAAGATTTTTTATTTCTCAAGATCTTCTATTGGTCATGTGCATAGTTATACAAGTATAACATGCAGTGGCATACAGTTGTCACAAACTGTGGTAAATGGATTCGTGTTTATGACAGTTTCAGTTTCAGTTTTAATGTTTGAAAACCCGAGGCTTCCAAAGTCTCAAACCAAAGAATTGACATTTGATTTAACATTTAACCTTTTTCAAAATTAATAGTTATACATTGCTGTGAAAAAGTAATTGCTCCCTAAACCTAATTACCAGCTGTGCCACGCTTGGCAACATGAACTGCAATCAAGTGATCAATAACTGTCAATAAGTCTTTCACATCACTGTGGAAGAATTTTGACCCACTCTTCCTTGCAGAATTGTTTTATTTCAGCCATACTGGATGGTTTTTGAGCATTTTGAGCATTTGCCAAATCTCTTTCTCATTCTTGAATCATGAACACTGTGGCGAGTCAGGCCTGCAGTTCTATAGATGTTGTTCTGGGTTCTTTTGTAACCTCCTGGAGGAGGGAATGTGCTCTTTAAGGTATTTTTGGTAGGATGGCCACTGCTGGAAACGGAGTCTTCTCCCTTGTGGATAATGGCTCTTACTGGAGTCCCAAACATCTGGAGATTCTTATGATTGTGGGATGATGCTGTTTTTTTTTTAAGATCTTTACTACTTTACGTTGACAGTTTTTATTTAAATGATTTCTTGATTTAACAGGTCTGGCAGTTATTAGACCTAGAAGTGGCTAATGAAATTAAACTCAACTTTCCAAAAAAGTTTGGTTAATTCCAATTCATTCATAATTTAAGGGGGTATATTTTTTTACGCTGCAAACATACAAGTGTGACAAATATGCAACTTTTCACAGCACAGTATACACATTATAAACTGCTCCAACTTTTGAGTTCAGCTTAGAGTGAGATTTGTGTCGGGTTCACTTCGTATCCTGTTCAAAACACAATATTTCTGCTACATTGTATGCATTTAAATTAGAAACCTTACTTTTTTGCTTATGTGCAGCCAGTGATGTTTACTGATCCAGTCTTTTCTGTTTTCACTGACAGAAGCCTATGGACTCATGTTCTCAATTCCATTGGTTCATTAATTCACTGGGCTCATTTCATTTTGACATGATTCAACATAACACAATAAAACTACTAATCTGTTGATTCATCTCCTCAAACATATACAGTAAATAAAGTCTAGTCTAGTTCAGTGAGCTTAGCTTGTGAATTTGAATCCTTTATAAGGGATTTTCCAAGAGCAGCATTAAATTCTTGTATTGGTTTGGACAATAACACCCTGACTGGCACTGATAAGAAAATCACTGGCATTTCACATTCTGAAGAGTGAGCTAATGTTGTCTGTGTCAGTATTGTTAGTTGATTTTACATATCTGGTTAGTACATTAGTTTATGAAATATGTTCTTAAGTGAAACATAGTGGCACATTATTAAATGGATCGACAGCCCTCTTTAAAAGGAGACATGTGAAAAAACAAAAGTGCTTGGACAACTCATAAAACCACACAGGCTAGCAGGGATATTTATAAGCACTTGTTGGAAATTGAATATTTTTGGCTTTTGGCTTCACTGAGTTCAAGATTAATGGTGGTGCTTCAGTAATTTTCAGGAATAAAGGAAAACTCATGTATTCATGAAAACAGATCTGTTTGCATTCCAGAGATGAAAAGATCAGCACCATTAAAACAAAATACAAAAACAGGTGCGAAAATGAAAACCGGGCAAGCCACGTGAATACACTTGACACAAAGTCACTTCAGAGATGATTCAGACAGACAATGGAGACAAATGAACGGCCAAATAAACTAACAGATAGATAAACTCATGAAGGTATGGATGGAGACATGAAAAGCCAATGGAGAGAATGAGGAATGTTGACAATGTAAAAGAGGCTCTGATAGCCAAATACCTACAAATTGCACGCAAAGCAATCGATATTTGGTTAGCGATATCATTTTCTTGTCTTTCTTTGCTCATGTTATGTGATGACGTGATTAAATCCTGATCTGCTCTCCAATTTAGAACCCAAGTAACACTAAGAATAAAAGCGATTCCTGCTTAATGCAGTGCTAAATGGGTGACAATGCATATATGAAATGTTGTCATGCTGCCATTAACATTAACATCTGTTTCTGATAGTGGTGCCATATAGAGAGGATGGAAAGATTCAGTGAATGAGACAAAGGTAAGATAGACAGAATGTACAATAGTATAAATAAATAGTTGGATTACTTTGTCATTCTTTGCTCGGCTTGATTTTGATTCCACACAAGGAATTCGGGGTCGTACCTATCGAGGGGGGACAGGCAGAGAGAAACAAGAGAGAGGTATATGTCGACTGTCTGGTAACAAATTATTCAATACCTGTTATAATAGCGATAATTAATAGTAATCAATAGAAATCAAAATTGTAGCCAGTAGACTCATCTTTCTCTCTTAACATTTTGTTATCAGGCAATAGAGGATGTGGGCAGGGTGGAGAACATGCACTTGGAGCAGATGGTTGGGAAATGGCGAGTATGTCAGATAAAGAGAGGGTCTCCGGACAAAAGAAACAAGGTAAGCCCTTGTTGCTTTCAGAAATTTAGCTATTGGTGGTTGCATAAATACCGTATAGCTTAAGGGTTTAAATAATTTTTAGGTCAACTTAGCTGTTGAATGATGGCAGATTCATTAAAGCTAAGCAGGACTGGTTACACAGTAGCTAACGAGTGAGAAAATGACAAGCATTCCGGAGCCTGTTCCGTGTAAGCTGGGTTTATTTAGTTAGATTTAAATGAGACGTTAAACATATGCTTTGTATTTTGGGTAACTATGTCAGCTTATGGAAGTGCTACATATTTTACTCTTGAAGGCTACTGCTCATGAAAATCAGAAATACAGTTAGAATATTTCCAACGATTAATCCAAAAAACGATTTACAATACAGAAATGTCAAACTTCTTAAAAGCATCTTTATTTCTTTAGTCAATATTTGGTTTTGGCTCCTTTCCCATGAATTACTTTATCAGTGTGGCGTAGCATGGATGTAAGCTTGTGGCACTGCTGAGGGACTGTTGAAGCTCAGGTTGCTTTGGCAGTGGCCTTCTGCTCATCTGTAGCATCTCCATAAAGCTTGTCAACAGATGAAAGAACAAAGTGCTCCGAAATCTCCTGGTAGATGGCTATGTTGACTTTGGACTTGATAAAACACAGTGGACCAACCCGACCGTAGCACCGGCAGATGACATGGTATCCCAGATGATCACAGACTGCCGAAACTTCACACTGGACTTCAAACACCACTCTTTCTCCAGACTCCAGGACCTCAACAGATCTAGAATCCAGTTCTTTTTCTGCATAGCTCTGGTAGCTTGCAGATGTCTTTCCATGTTGCCTCTTGATGCACTGAAACCTGTTGAATTGACTCCTTGTGAAGTTCTTCAAATTTCTTGAATCTTTGAAGCTCTTTTCTTGACAATCCTCTTATAGCTACAGGCATCTCTGCTGATTGTGCATTGTGCAGCTAGTCCTAACACACTTTCCACTCCCAGTCAGCTTTCCATTAATACACTTCAATACAGCACTCTGAACAGCCAGCCTTTTCAGCAATGACCTTCTGCAGTGTACCCTCCAAGTCGAGGTTGTCGATCATTAGAACAACTGTTAAGTCAGCAGTTTCCCCGGTGATCGTAATTGTCTTTACTGAAGTAGAACGAGACATACACAGTATTTATACTGTTTGAATTATGTACTCAGCTCAAAGTAGTCTTAGAATTTGAGGTACTGAATTTCTGGTTTTCATGAGCTATAACCTTCAGTGCTGGAACTTTAAAGACAAAGGGTTTACCAGTCAAAGTTTGGACACACCTTCTCATTTAATGTTTGTTTTGTTGTTGTTTTTTTACATTTTCATAACTATTTACAACATCCTCACTGAAAGCATCAAAACTATGAATGAACATATATGGATTTATGTAGTAAACAAAAAAGTGTGAAAGTTTAAAACATGTTTTATATTTTAGATTCTTCAAATTAGCCACCCTTTGCTTTGATTACTGCTTTGCACACTCTTGGCCTTCTCTTGATGCAGCACTCCATCACTTTCCTTATTGGTCAAACAGCCCTTACACAACCTGTTGAAGAAACAATGGTCCAACTAAACACAAACAGGATGGGATGGCATGTTCCTGCAGGATGCTGTGTTAGCCATGCTGGCTCAGTGTGCCCTCAATTTTGAATAAATCCCCAAAAGTGTCACCAGCAAAACATCCCCACACTATCACAACTCCTCCTGCATGCTTCACAGTGGGAACCATGCATGTAGAAACTGTTCGTTCACCTTTTCTGCATCGCACAAAGACACAGCGGGCGGAACCAAAGTTCAGACCAAAGCACAGATTTCCACTGGTCTAACTGTCCATTCCTTGGCCCAAAGAAATCTCTTCTGCTTGCTGCTTTTCCTTAGTAGTGTTTTCTTAGCAACTATTTGACCATAAAGGCCTGATTCGCGCAGTCTCCTCTGAACAGTTGATGTAGAGATGTGTCTGCTACTGGAACTCTGTGCTGCATTTATCTCGGTTCTAATCCTAGGTGATGCCAACTTGTGATTTTTGAAGCTGATGACTTGGATGAATTTATCCTCAGAAGCAGAAGCAACTCTTGGCCGGTCTTTCTTGTGCATGGTCCTCATGTGAGCCAGTTTCGTCATAGTGCTTGATGGTTTTTGCAACTGAACTTGGACACACATTGAAAATTTTAGCAATTTTCCAGACTGACTGACCTTCAGTTCTTAATGTAATGATGGACTGTCGTTTCTCTTTACTTAGCTGACAAGGCATTGAAAACCATTTCAGGTGACTACATCTTGAAGCTCAATGACAGAAAGCCAAGGGTTTGCAGTGCAACGCAAAGGGTGGCTACTTTTAAGAATCTACAATATAAGACAGTTTTTTTTATCAATTTTTTCTTTGCTACATAATTCCATATATCTTGGTTCATATGTTTGATGTCATCAGTTATGGATCTACAATACAGAAAGTAGTAAAAATAAAGAAAAACCATTAATTGAGAAGGTGTGCCCAAACTTTTGAATGGTACTAAATGTATATATACATACATTTACAGAGTATTTTAAAGTTTACCTTTTTGAAATAAATAACAAAATAATTTTTTTTCACAATATTTTTGAGACATCAGTAGATGCATAAACTCTGTGTTCGCAAAACATGTAGGAACAATCCAGCATGTATGACTGTAGCGTGTGTGCACTTATAGGCTGTGCTGACCAATGGACCAATCTCCCAGAACCTGGACAGGTTAAATGAATAAGTCTGCTTCTACTCAATATTTCCCTCACTGCCAATGAATCCCACACAAAAGGCAAAAAGCAGAAAACCTATGCTCTGGTATAATCTTCTTTTTGGCCACAATGAGATTTTTTTTCTGTGTGATAGGGTGTTCTCCAAGACCTATTAAAAACCTCGGACCTATTGTACTTCATGACTTAGGGGCTGTATTGGGCACTATCCTTCAGTGTTCTAAATACTTCTGCACGTATTAATAGAAAATACTGCTTACTAGAAGCTACAGTCCCTAGCTGCTTCAAGAAAAATAGTGGGCCTCAATTTGTTTTATCTTCAAAGATCTGAAAGTCTTTATTGTGTTCAGCTGCTGAGCGTGTCAAAGAAAATGTAGAAAAGTCAGACGGTACAAACAAAGAGTTTGAGCCTTTTTGAATGGGATTTTTTGAGAGTAAGAAAGATGTAGCATAACACCGGACCCTCCCTTTAACAAGCTACTCGTATGACTTTAGATGCCGCTTACATCGGCATGTCGTGTGCATGTCGTGAGCGTAAAGCAAAATGCCATGCATCAAAAGTCCGCCCTTTAAATGTAGCAGTGCAGATGTGTTGAAGGTACACAACGATGATGCCAGAGCTAAAGAGTGACCAAACAAATGACGTGAGTGCAATGTGCACACAGAAATAAACACTTGGACAATGGGTGAATGTAAGAGCAATGACGACAACAACAGCAAAGAGAGCTAATGAAACAAAAGATAGTTTTGAGTTTCTAAATTTCACAATAAGCAATTCAAGAGAAAGTGAGCTCCTCATTAGAGAAATAAATTTGTGGAAAAATAAACATATCCGCTGCCTGTACCTGAACTAACATATCCCAAACAGACAGTTCAGCTTTAATTAGGCTACTTCTATTTCTGACAGCTAGTCTGTGCAGCCATTACAAAGAAGAGGCTAAAAAATAAAAGAGAAATCCAAGACAGTATTGGAATAGTATTTCAAACTTCATTTTAACTAGGACAAAAGAGTGATAAAAACAGCTATTACACTGTCTCTTTATGTCTCTCTAACTCTTTTTTTTAATGTGTCACTCTCTCTCTCTCAGACATCCACACTCATACAGAGATATCTCCTGGTCTAGAAGACGACTTCATGCAGACTTTCCGCATTAACTTTGTCTACCTGCTGCACAGAACGTGACTGATTGCCACTGACAGAGAGCCACTCCACTCCTAACAGCAGCAGCAAACTCTTAAATTGGACCTAGAGGTGTGCACAGGCATTGGTACAACAGTGTGAACACGCCCCAACACCAGGCAAACTAGAGAGGACAGTGAAAGATGCGGCGTGATGTGTGCCTCATACTAAAGCCCAGATTCAGCCAGTCTTTTTCTGCACTCCACTGTCAAATCCTGACAGTCAATTATGTGCCGATGTGCTGCAAACTGTGGGTGTCGCCATGTCGCACTTCCAGCTCTGACACCACGTTTGCGGTTTTCAATCAAACTCTTTTCTTCATTAAAAAAAGCTCAATGTTGCTCAGGTTAATGATACTATTGATATTTCCTTTAATAATTCATGTTTCACTTGGTGAATCTGGCCCTCAGTAAGTTTAGTGAAAAGTGGAAAGGGAGCAGAACGAAGGGTCTCATTAATAAGCCAGAGCTGATTCGAAGTGAAAATGGCCGTCTTTTCTCACCTTGGGTCCTTCTGGATGCTGTCCACTGATGGGGATCGGCCCAGCGCCGCCTCAGGGGGGAGGGCGGGGCCTGACTTGCTGTAAGGCGACTCGGTCGACGGACAGAACTGTAGAGTGCGGTACGGATTGGCGTAGTCGGCCGCCCCGCCTCCCGTGGCAAAGCTGCCTCTCTGGAAGGTGGCGGTGGCGCTCTGGCTTCCCGTTCGCTGTAAGGGGATTGGGTCGACACCGGGGGAGGGTGGGGCTAAAGTGGAAAGAGGAGCGTAGGGACAGAGCAGATAATTGAGGACCTCTTGGTACAACTGGTTCACCACTGGGATTTGATGTAGACGAGGAGGGCAAGGAGCAGGGGATCGCAACCAAACATGAGCACCAACACAAGGATGTACAAACACACATACGCACACAAGACCAGCACCAATGGAAGAAAGTGACACAGAAAAATAAGTGGAAAGAAAAGAATAAAAAAAGCAAAAGTCATTAAAAAAATAAAGAAAACAAACAGAAATAATGAAGCAGATAAGAAAATCAGAAACACACGTGAAACATGCATGCACCAGACCTCCCTCCTTCACTTTAAAGCATAGCCAGATTGCACCAGTCATTAGATCACTATTCTGTCACCATGTCCTGCAGTGCACTCACCCACCAACCACAGCAATATTGGCCACCAGGTGATAAACGGCCCCCTTTTAGAGATCTACAAAGTCTGTGTGGCTTAGAAGGAAAAGGGTGGTTGCATCCTGTTGGAAACTCAATATTTTACACTTCTTTGTTAAGATTTAGCCACTCAAAATTTACTATGGACACGGTACTGAAATTAGCTCCTAATGTTTAAGAAAGCCTGTATTCATAAGGGTAATCTGCTTGTTGAAAATGATTAGTTGCAGAGCAGCAAGAAAACAATATAAATGCACACATATTAGATTCTTAGCTTTCTTTGTCTTTTGTTTAAAAAATACGTTAGTTTTACAATTTTTAGCTTTAGAAGTGCTGGTATAGGAGTTTGTTAGCTTTGGGGAGATCCAAGCTAGCTGTTTTCCAATGCGTCAAGAACAGCTTTGAGCTAATTTGAAGCTAATTTGATGCTTGCTGTAGCTTCATATTTATTATATGGAAGGCAGAGTGGCAAGAAAGACAGTTTGGCTGTTCATACTATTGAATACATTTGCAGTTTGTCAGACTAGCTCTAATAAATTCTCCATAGCGAGGGTCTGTAGCCTCAGGGCTGTTGCACACTTTGTGCAAAAACATCAAAACACTTTAACGCAGACCAGCGAAGGCCATTTGCCATGTTTTACACACACACATGAATTATCTTCTCGTTAACCAGCAGTTTGGGAACCATTTGGGCATGACAGTCTTGAGCCTGCCCTGAGGGAGGTGTGCTGGGTCATTTCTTTGTGTGCGTGTGTGCGCAACTTGATAACTACAGGGACCTTGTCAAGCCCTGAGGAAATTCACCTGTGATGTGAAATTTCCAAGTCTGCTCATCATATTGATGCTCTTTGAATTGACCTTGAAACATAGTCAGGCTTCAACAGAAGAAAAAAAACAGGTATCTGAAAAACAGTGTGGCGTTTGGCTGCTGTCGGGACTCTCATTCATACGCGCGCAGCTGGAGATGATGACCGAGCTATTTCGATGCATCAAAGCAGTTTATGCGTGTGTACGGGGAGCCAGCGTGACAGAAGTGACCTCGGATCTTTTAATTAGCAGAGTGAAACTATATTTTGGAAGGAAACTGACAGTAATTTTTCCTCTTTTTGCTGTGCACATCTCTTTATGGAAACGTTCACAGTTGAGACGACCGAACTGGCAGCACAGTATCAACAACATTTTAGGACATGGTTGATTTGCTTTGATTTCAAAGCACCCAAGCTAACGCCCATGGGATTAATTGAGATTAATTTTCAGCCTTGAAACTAATTAGTTAACAGACTGTGACTGAGAGACAAATTGCCATTGAGACCCCAATTGGATTTGCCTACCTGATCTGGGAAAAAAGCGCTGCACGATCAGATGGAACCAGGAAATCTCTTATGTACATCAGCCTTTAATATAACAGCACACCATTACAAAACACCTGCCTTCTGAGAGGCACCATGCTGTGCCTTTTTCCTGCTCTCTTTGTGAGGATTTTACAGACCTGTTCCTTTATAAAAGATATTTTCTCTCATAGTTACTCACTGATTTTTAAATCTAGATGATTCCCTGGGTGATTTACACACTGCAGTTATTTATGGTCATGGACTTGTTTGAAGACGTTTTGGTGGCCGTCTTCGCAGCCACGGTATAATCAAGCCCAAGTGTTACTGCAGGTTCAAATAAGTCATTTACTAATTGCCGGTTGTTACTACAGGCTAAAAGAAACGAAGTCTCAGCTCACAGTGGGTGCTGCAGTTATTCAGCACTACAATTACTCCAAGTTAGAACACTTGGAAGAGACGCACAGCTGAAATCAAAGCATCACAAGCAGAGTGTTATTCTTCTATTCTGGGTCAATCTTGCACTAAATGCTAGATCCTACATTTCCCACAATTCATCTCTTCCATATTCTTTACCTGACTGCTACTGTACATGTTTGTAACACACACTTCCCATTCACTATCTATCTAACCAATGCAATGTATTCTGGTAGTGTCACCTTTTGAGAGGTGAGGCCCTCTTTAGTTGGACCTATTTTATAACACAGTAAGTGAACCACTATGTTGGTTTTCTTTTGAACTGATTGTCCACATAAGGGTTTCGTCCAGTCAGTGTTTGCACTCCTGCCAGTCATCTCTTATCCCCGTCTAGTGGCTTGCTCATCAAAATTGGGGTAGATGCGTCACATGAAAACTCTGAAGCATCTCCCCCATCTTCTACAGGCACACTCCAAACACTGAACCGTCGTATTTCCCTTCTCCAGATCTCACCTTGTCCTCTAATGTTAGGTTTGGTGTAGACTCTGTCTTCATAGATGGGGTCGATGTGGTGTTCAGGGGACTGCAGGGGTCGCAGTTCGGAGCCCAGGTGACTGTGCTGGCTACTGTAGGAACCTCTGGACCCTGGAGAACACAAGGCGGTGGAAGTTAGACATAGTGACAGATGGATGCATGTGTAGATTTATAAAAATATTCTCGTGGGATAACACTGAATGACAAATTCGACTACAAATGAAAATAAATGATGAAATGCATTAATAGATATGCTTTCATGTACTGGACTGCTTCTGCTCTAGTCATAAATAAAAAAATAGCCATTTACCCTGAAAGCAAAAGAATACACAATAAATTAGGGATACTGTATGCTGGGGAAATGTTTAAAAAAACAAATAAAGCAAACTTTATTTTGAATTTGAGGGTCTTATCTTATTTATTACAAAGAACATCTAATACATTTGAAATAAAATCTTGACAAACTTTAGTCATTTGTTAACATTTGTTTACAAAGCTACAGGGGGAAAAGGCCACAAATGTAGAAAATGTTTCTACATGTTCAGGAAAAAAGTAGAAAATGAATGACTTGACAAGACTCAATGGCATTTGACAGAAACACACATAGAAAAGTAATCATAAAGGTGTCTTGACCTCTACCTGCCAGGCTACCAGGCCTTTGCAGGGTTGCGTTAGCGTACAGCTCGTGGGAAATCTTGTAGGTATCTGCTCCGATGTGATGCAGCATGCGCTTGGTGGGCGACAGGGTGGCATAGCTCCCCACCGCAGAGCTAAGCTGGTGTATGGGTGACGAGGAGTGATTTCCCCCTGGAGAGGCTACCATGGGGAGCGGTGAGGACGAGCCGCCAGCACCTGATGCTACCATGTTGATGGGGGATGAGGTGCTGAGAGAGGAGGAGACACGGAAACTGTTGGACTTTTTGCGTGAACATATTGTGTTTTGTCTAGAATGAAATTACATTCGTAAACATAATAGAAGTGAAAGAGAGCAAACATCAACCTAGATTAAGAGACAAAGATGAATAGCACAGTGTAAAACACAGATGCATCGATAACGGTGCAGCAGACATGCATATCCGAGTTCTAATCTCACACAGAGTTTTGTGTACCCATCTAGTGTTGCGCCAAACAGAAGCATTCAGGCCTTTTTCAGACCTCACCTAAATAGTGAAACTTCACCAAACAGTAGTCAACAAAAACAGAAAAAGAAGAATAAAATCTGGCAATCAAAGTGTCTGTAACTACAGCTACAGAGATCCATCATCCATGTATTTCCTTAATTGTTTCTCTACCATCTTAGGTGAGAGGTGTGGTGCACACTAGGCCGGTCGCCATCTGAGGGCTGACACAGACAGACAGGCACCCACTCACACTCACACCAATTTAGAATCACCAGTTAAACTAACGAGCATGTCTTTGGAAATGGACTGAAAAGGGTCAAATACAGCTCACTGGACAGTTTTTCAAAAATGTGTCCTGATCTAGTCTGAAACTAGATAAGGACACGTTATTAACCTTTTTTACTGCTATTCCTGGTGTGGTGACGTCAGTGTTAGCCTAAACTACACAGCAGTTGAAAGTCAGGCTGTCGATGATCTTTTTTTTCTTCTCAAGTTCTTTAAAGGAAAAAGTAGGCAATTGGGTTTAAAGGTAAATGCATTTAAAGGGAGGTTTTTCTTCATGGTTTTACCCACATCAAACTGCGCTTTATTTCACACCTCTGCTTTAATCCTTAAAGTCATGTTTATTTGTTCAGTAGCTGCCAAGACTAATCTTTTCTGAATATTAAACAAGCACTATGAGTCCCTTGTGTATTAAATAGTATTCACTTAATTATATTAGTGGATACTTGTATCAATTATTGGAAAATCAATGAGTAAATGAATACTCTGTTCCCTTTAATCACATTTTATTTACCTTCAAATGGAGGTGAAATTTGATTTTAGCTTTTTTAATCATCAGTATTTTCTACTGTTATTTTAACCTACATTTACATCACACATATCATATTGCTAATCCATGGTTATTGGCATATAATATACCATTCTAATAAGGGATTTGCTGTATACATTTCCCCCAAATGTATCATATTTTTTGGAAAGCATCTCTACTTGAATTTAAAATAAAATTCTGTGGGTTTGAACAACATTTGGCTCCACAGCATGAGCTTGTAAAGACTGGCCCACCAACAGTCTGCTACTTCATTAGGGGAGTTTTACTTTTAAATCTTTACTTTTCAGTACAGATTTCCTGATCACGCGTGGAGTGCTGAACCCTTCAATCGATCCGTCGAACGTTAAAGACAGGATGATGTAGCACCTTTATTTGTTTCCATTATAGAAAACATTCTATGCAAATCGTGACATTCCTGGATAAAAATAAAAATGTCTGATATTAAACTTTTTCTTGTTGCCAAACTAACACGACTTAAAAACGACTCAGATGTGAAACAGAGGAGAGGTCTCGTGTGTTCTTTAAACCTGAAATGTGAAGTCGTTGTTTAGTCAATGTCATACGGATAACTAACGATTAAGAGCTCTTGCACGCCTCTGGAAGCCTTAGCTGTGGTGCATCATTTTCTGGCACCTTCCCACAATGCACTGCAGTGATTTAAATAATTTTCCATCTCCTCACTGTTTTTTTTAATAGCAGTCAGTGAAAACTGGTTATCTGCAACAATTTTTCCTCACCAACAGCCACAGACATGCTCTCTACTTTTAAGGTTAGACTCAAAACTTCCCATTTTGATAAGGTTATAGTCAGGCCCGGATCAGGTGACCCTGAAGCATCCGTTAATTATGCTGCTACGTGATTCCCTGTGACACACTGAGCATTCTCTCGCTCACCTTTTTTCGTTCCCCGGGTGTTTATATACTACTGCTGCATGTCATTACATTTTGTCTTCTTTCTCCAATAGTGTATGTTCTGTCCTGTCTCTGGTGCTCTCTTCTTTTGGCTGTTCAAATGGAGTTTTTCCTTCCACTGCTCAAAGTGTTTGCTCATAGGGGATTGTCTGTTGGGGTTTTCTCTATAGCATCTTTACCTTACAGTATTAACAGTGTTGGTAGTAATGGAATACATGTAGTAATGGAATACATGTACCGCCTTTACGTATTTAAAATACAAAATATGAGTAACTGTATTCCATTACAGTTACCGTTTAAAAAGGTGATATTCAGAATACAGTTACTGTGTTGAAATAAATGGATTACACGGCAGTCTTTTCTTGTTTCATATGTTAGGCTATGCCCTCTTTATTTTTGGTAATTCCACGCCGGTGGAAACCCAAACAAAACACGCATTAAGAGGCTCTAATGCCTGTGTCTCAATCTCACGGCCCATGTCACCCGTACTTGACGTGAAGAAATATTTTTAAAAATTATTATTCAAAAAAATTATTTAATATCAAGGCAGAGTGTTAGTGTTTTATATACGCGTGGAATAATTTTCTATGGAAGATCGCAGCAAAAAGTGCAGCCGTACCTAATGTCCACCCTACTGTTACTCATTTTAAGATTTAAAACTCTAGTTGGTATGGCGAGTATTCTTCAGTAATGGTAATAAATCACACAGCAATAGTACATTCATGTAGTTGTAAAAAGCATGATAATATATTAAGTAATCCAAAGTATTCAGAATACGTTACTCTCATTGAGTAACAGTATTACTCAATTACTCTCATTGAGTAACGTAACGGAATACATTACAAATACATTTTGGGGCATGTAATCTATAATCTGTAGTGGGATACATTTAAAAAGTAACCTTCCCAACACTGAGTATAAAACGCAAATGTTGTTGTGATTTGGCACCATATAAAAAAACCCCCCCAACAAACGTGAATTGAGCTGAACTGTTTATGATCTTACTCCAGTGTGTACATGGCTGCTAATTCAGCCCTTTCCCCATTGCAGCAGGCCACCTAGAACTCGATTTTCCAGTGCAAGTCAGAGCACAGACATGCAAATTCACATATTCTAAATGTCCCTTGCATAAAGGCAGAACTGTACAGCAGAGAGAGCCCTTGCTGCGTGCTTGGCTCGGTCAAACACCTTTCGTGACAAGGAATTAATAAAGCCTACCAACAGTACACAGAGTATTCTGTCATCTGTGTGTCACCATTCTCAGTCCAAGCTGTACAGAGGAAATGCCATAACCTGCTGTGATCATCTACAGTAAGATCATTTACAATTTGGTAAATTAACAGCAGTGAGCATGTTTGTACCCATTTGTACCTCTGTTGTAGCTTTTGTCAGTTGTTGTGGCAGGATATGGGAATCTGTTAATGTTCATCTTGGTGCCGGTACATTACCTCTGATGATGCACGGTGCAGTGAAAAAGTATCTGCTCCATGATTTCTTAGATTTTTTGCATATTTATCACATTTACTTGTTTCAGGTCATAACACAATTTTTAACATTAGACAGAAATAACTCGAGTAAATACAAAAAACTGTTTTTTTAATTGATTTAACCTATTCAGGGGTAAAAAAACTATCCAGTTCTAAATGACCCTGTTTGGAAAACTGACTGTCCCTCCTTGTTAAATTAAAACATTTTCTGGAAATCTGAGTTCAGCTTCACTGGTCACACTCAGGTCTGATAACTGCTGGACCTGTTAAATCAAGAAATGACTAAAAAAGAAAGTGAAGTAGGCTAAAAGATCTCAAAAAGCAACACATCATCCCACAATCTTAAAGAAGCAGCTGAAAAACAAAGTTAATTGACATCTGTCACCTTGTAAAGAGTTACAAAATTCTTCAGCAAACCACAGTGAGAGCCATTACCTACAAATGAAGAACACTTGAAACATTGGTGAACCTTCCCAGGTCTACCAAAATTACTCCAAGAGCATATTGATGACTCATCCAGGAGGTCACCCCAGGCCCGGAACAACATCTATAGAACCACAGGCCTCAGTTAAGGTTCATGATTCAACAGAAATGGCATCCATGGGAGAGTTCCAAGGAGCAAGAACACAAAGGCTCATTCCACATTTGCCAAAAAACTTTGTGATGAGTTTCAAGACTTTTGGGAAAATATTCTGTTGACTAACAAGACAAAAGGTTTTTAAGTCCTGTTACATCGGCTGTAAAACTAACGCAGCATTTCGTAAAAACAGCATCATACCAACAGTCAAACATGGTGGAGGTAGCTACAAAACCTGGACGACTTACTGTAACAAAATAAGTAACAAATACTGTATAACACGTAAAGTGTACAGGGCCTATTTTGTGACCATGGGATAGGCCAAGCCTATTGAGTTTCTCTGTGCCCCTCCACTTTGGGATTTTACTTCTCAGGTAGGTCCCCAAGACGCCCCCACAGCATAAACTGGTAAGTTAGTAAGTAAAGTAAGCCACGGGGCGATCGTTGCTCAAGAGTTGGCAGTTTGTCTTGTAATCAGAAGGTTGCCAGTTCGAGCCCCTCTGGTGGTCAGAGGGCCCGGTGGCGCCAGTGTCTGGCAGCCTCGCCTCTGTCAGTGCGCCCCAGGGGACCTGTGGCTACAATGTGGCTTGCCATCACCAGTGTGTGAATAGGTGGATGCGCTTTGGGGTCCTTAGGGACTAAGTAAAGCGTCATACAAATCCAGGCCATTTACCATTTAAAATTTTATATACATAGCACCTTTCTGGACAAAAGGTCACAAAGTGCTTCACACAGAGATAACAAGGTATAAAACAAAAACAGACAAAAAGTGATGTGTTTTTAGCTGTTTTTAAAATAGACTACTGAGTCCACAGATCTTTAGCTCAGTGGGAGAGAGTTCCACAGTCTGGGGGCCACAGTTGCAAAAGCTCCGTCTTCCTTAGTTCTCAGCCTTGTATGCTGTATAACAGGTAGGCCCTGATCACGTGACCTCAGGGACCTGCTAGGGACATAGGGCTATAGACGTTCAGTGATGCAGGCTGGTGCTTGTCCATGAAGAGCTCTGAATGTCAGAACCAGAATCTTAAAATGGACTCTGAATTCAATGGGGAGCCAATGCAGCCGTATTAGCAGCGGTGCCACATGTGAGTACTTCGAGGATTTGGTCAGAAGCCTTCGGTTAGTAAAGATATATTCTTCAAATCGATGTATAATTTGTGTATAGAGTCAGACCAACCTGTAGGATTTGGCGAGTCGGCTGGGTGATTGCTTGGGTGAGGACACTCTCTGTAGCGTGGCGTAGCTGGGCATGTCAGCAGAGGCTGATCCCAGCCGCTGCAGCTTGGTAGGAGATCCCACCGCCTGCAGAGGGGAGCTTACGCGCTGCAATGCAAGATTTGTAATTCATTAATTGGGAATGTCACTCACATTAAATATTCATCCTCTCTTCTTATTCCTATCATTACTTCCATAGAGATGAACAACTCCCCCCCCGGAGCTGGAAAACCAGAGAGCAGAAACTCTAATCCGTGATAACATCCTGATGAAGAGCTCTGGGTTATCAGACCAAACATGAAGTCACGACTGTAAACTTTTACAACCAAATGAACTTGAAATGCAGCCGTGAGCAACGGGCCGCCAAATGAAGTTCCCTCAGAATTGAATTGGTTGAACAAATATTTCCAATGCCTTTCAGGCACAGAGCTAAAGGGACAATTTAAAACACTGTTAATTTGGACGAGCGTGGTCAAGTTGTGATACACCGGAAAAGTGAAGGTAAATCAGTTTAAATGTTCAACGGAGTTACAATAAAGAATTATGAAAAATGAACTAATGAGTGAACAGTAGTGTAAATCGCCACCTGTTACAGCACATGTTAGTGCAAGTTTGATGTTTTTTGGTTTTTCCCTGTGGCAGCCAACAACCAGAAGGCTGCACACTTTCTAATAATCACTGTTACATGAATAAAAAAATCAGAATCATGGGTAATAAATCCTAAAGTTAATTAAATTGTTATTTGACTGTTTCCAAAGCAATGAAACGATATTGATAACCTCTAACTATAGTGATGATAGCATATGTATGTATTAATGTCTTTATGCACACATTCTCTTCCGTAATGGGAATCTGAACAAAGCTTTGCATGAACATCGTCACACATGCAGTGATCATGTAACTGCGAATGCAATGTTACGTTCTCACGTGTCACGTTTAACGTAATGACTTTATAGTTACCAAAATTACAGAAATAAAGTCAACTAAACGGGACTTTGTAGTAACAGTTCCTGCAAGAATAACGATAATGTATATAAAAGAAAGAGCGGGCTCAGTTTGGATACCTTTGCAACAGACACTGACACCATCCAGTGAATATGTAAGACACATTCTGCTTCACAGGTTTTTCTCCACAAACATGTTGAGCAACATAAGGTCGAATGTTGAATTTGTTCAGTGGTTCTGAGATTTTAACATTTGTTAACAAAAGCTTTTTCTGTCTCTCTTTTGTGGGTTTGTCAGCGGGATGTGTGAAATAGACACGTAATTTGGCAGAGATTTGGTGGCCTTTGCCACAACGATTACCCGAACAATGCTTGCTGACTCTGTGTTGAAAACGTGTGAAAATACTACAGCTTGTATCTTTTGAGATCAATGGAAGCAGCTTGAATTTGACTTCAGTATTAGTGCATTAGAAATTATCCAATCGCTACATGAAACCCTTCAATACACTTTGGTTGCAGTGTGTACAGGAGCAGTGGAGAACGCATCAGTCACACAACAACTGAAGCATCATAGTAATACCTTTAGGGATATGTACCTGTGCAGGCAAAGTGGCACACGAGTAATACATGGATGGTCCAGCAGGTGCAGGTCCGCCCTCTGTGGACATGTGGAAAGCGCTGCCAAAGGCCTGCTGGGCAAATGAGTCTCTCTGGGACTGTGAAGGAGAGTCTGTGCCTGCTAACTGGGCAGCTGCACGGCTGGATGTCACCTGAAGATGGGTGGAGGGAAGAAACATAAGACAGATGAGGGGAAGAAGGGGTCACACAGAGAGGGAGAAAGGAAGGGGGAGACAGATGTGAATGAAGATGTAAGAGGACAAGAAAGGAGGGTGAAGAAGAGCGCACAGGTTAGGAGGACACGGGACAGGAGACACGAAGAAGACAGAGGGCCGGAGAAAGGGCATTTGGAGAAGGTAAATCAGAGGAACAAGCACCTGGTTGTAGCTGTGGACTGCTCCTCCGATTTGCCCACTGCGGCCTGGGACTGATTCTCCAAGTGTCAGCCCTTGATTACTATGGTAACCAGCTGCTGCATAGGCATCTTGATTGTTAAGCTGTAAAGCGCTTTGGGACAGGAGTCCTTGTCCTGATGGGAAAAATGAAAAAGAGTCGAATTAATAAGGGTGATGAGCACTGGCCAAGGACGTGGTTACTGAGCCTGCACAATGTGCAAATTTTTTAAGGAGAAAAATCCTGTTCATTAAATTCATTAAAATGATCTTTAAAAAAGAAGAATCTGGGTTAGCAGTCTGAAGAAAGCTAAAATGATTTACAAGAAATTTGTTGACCAGTGTCAAAAGCCACCTTACAAACAGACTTTATTTCTGTCAAGCTGCTTTTATGTAACTGTTTTCAAATGACTCTTACTTTCTACAAAAGTCAGTTATTGTGTAAAGACTTCGTCTGTCTGTGGCCTTGAAGGCATTCTGTAACCTACTTTACATCCCACGTGTTATACAATGTATTTCTTTTTTATGGGAGAAAGACTAAACGTGAATACAACAAGCAGGACTGTGTTGGTCTGTAACAGACCTTGAAATGAAGAATAGAGAAAGGAAGAAGCACACTGAAGGCTGAAATGGGATGAAACAGATTTACTTATCGTCCTGTTTTAAGGCATCCACTTGCTTTTTACCCACTATGTTATTCTGGCCTCTCTCCACTCTCTTCCAGTCATGCTCCATGACCCTTAAATCTCACTCTATTCCTGACCTCCATTTAAAACACACTCTTTTCCTGCCTCTATCAGTTCCTTTATTGCTCTCGACTACCTGAGTGTCTCTCCCTCTCTCTCTCCATTCCATCTGCCTGTATAATTCAGCAGGGAGAGCGACACAAAAGTGTTAGAATGAGGCCAACAATGAAACTTTCCCAAACTCACTCAAGGATGCACTGAAATAATCCATTTTCATTTGCTGTGAAAAAGTAAAACTTGTGGCTTCATAAATAAAAAATGAAGTGTAGTTAGTGAAAAGTTCTTTTTTAATTTTTTTAAAAAAGACTGGTAGCTCTCTTAACTACTAGTTGAATATGAAGCTAGTGGGTGGAGTGGGTTAAGGCGGCATTAAGGGAGCATTCACGTGTAAGGACTGTTTCAACATTCGACGGTGGGTGTGGCAGATTTTCAGCAGGGTATTTTTACTGATGCTACCTTTTGCAGAGATAACCAGTGTGGTGGTGGTCAACAGGTTTGCCTTTCAAAAGGCAATCATCATCTCAACATAAGAATAATAATCATACCATCAAGGACTCACAAATGTAAGCGCATTCCTGGAAAGGGACTGACGAAACTGCCGGAATGGGTGTAAGGGGGATGTACAAAGAAGTGGGAAAACTTGAAGGACAAAATATGGTTGCCCCAGAGAAAACAAGAAAGGTCCCCATTTTGATAATTAGAGGAAACACGAACCCAGCCTACAGGGACTCACGAGCTAGAATACTCCTCATGTCAGTCGCATGTCTGGAAAAATGGGAGCATTGCATCAGGAATGGAGCCTGGCGTTAAAAAATAATCAAATATAAGATCCCATCTGCTGCAGCCCCTTTATGGAAATTAGGGAGTAGGCAAAAGAAGGCACAGCAGTGCCGTAGTAATAGTCATTTATGGCAAGGACACAACACCTTCATTAGAAATTAGCACGAGCCAAGCTATCTGCCTAACTGCCAACAACAAAGTCAGGAAGGTACTGCACAAGCACCTCCCTCATTCTCTCTGAATAGTTTCATAATGTGATTTGATCGAATAGAAGGATGACTGTGATTTTATTGCTGGCATTGGCTTGAAAAGTTTAGCTCAACTTTTCAGCACAAGCAGAACGATTCAAGTTTGCAAGACATCGCTCACCTCTATTAGTCTATCAGCGCCTGTGTAATTAACAACAGAGTGCTGGTTTTAGGGGGTTTTTTTCCCCTCTTTAAGACCAGCACTTTTCCACAGGTCCTGGTTGATTTTTTAAAGATACCAAGACACTTTAATTCTGCAACATTTTGGATATTGAAATGAATTACCTTTACTAAGCACCATGGGGAGTGAATTTTCAAAGCCCAACTACTTCATAAATGCTGCTTTGTGATGCCAGTTTACTGAATGCTGACTTTTACAGGGTCAGAAAACCAGCAGCTCCAAGCTAACTGAAGGTAAGATAATAAAAAATTGCTTAAACGTCAGGCTTAGCTAACCCTCCGCTGGCTGTGTGAACTAACTGGTAAGAGAATGGAAGTTGCTTTCAGTCTTCAGGGAGAAAAAAAATAATAGTGGTTTGACTAGATCCAGCCATCATCAACAACACTAAAACATCATCTCATGACAATGTGCAAAGGATCCACTGCCAACACTCTGGACCCAGACACTACAGAACAACCCCAAATACTGAACTACAAAATATAATCTTGTGATTGACTAGTGCTTCTTCCCCTCAGCTGTTACAAGGCGAGCTTATACAGGTATTTGGACACTTTTATAAATAGTAAATGCGCTAAATGACCTTTAACCTCATAAGATAATAGTCTAGTCTTAACAGCCTTTGAACTGACACGAAAGCATACATAACAGGTTCTAGATTTACATTTAAAGGGTTGATTCAATCTCTCAAGAGTTTATCCATCATGATTAGAAATAATAAAAAACAAATTTAAGACCTTTTACTTTGTTGTATTTTTTATTAAGGCTCTACAAACACAAAGTAGCATCGCAGTCATAATTAAATCAGTTTTACACATTACCAGTCTTAACACATCGTTCCACATCATAACACTTTATTTTTTATGACAGCAGCCAATTTGTGAACATAAAAGTTTTAGACCAGCATTTCAAATAATACAAAAATGGAGCAAGTGACGCAAAAAGTCATAATCCTTATTGGCCAAGACATGTTTAGGTGTCTGGAACAACATTTAAAATGCATCTACATGGATGCTATTTTTATGTCTCCATGTTTAATAGGGAATGGCATAGCGAGTCAGGAAGAGAGGCAGGGTTAACTAGCTGACGACTGCGTTAGAGCAGAGTTAAATAGGTTAACAGCAGGTTTACGCTATCTTACAGCCAAAGCATAATGACATTAAATGCTTCACTGCTAATTTTACATGCAGCCTCATTAGGGCTTCTAAAGCGTTTGCAGTCTTGTGATTTGCACATGGACCATTTCATTTCCAGTGTAAACATGCAAACATGCGTAGACTGTGACACATAACACAGACTCACGCGGCACGGAGGCATGAACCATAATCACAAAAGCATCTAGAAAGCATCAAATGAGAATGTTAAGGGAATAATTTGGGAAGAGGAGGGCGGGAGCTGCTTGTACAACAGCCAAAACCCTCCCATCTCTCTTATTAAAGTGCTGTTTCATTTTTGATGCAACCTTGATTAATTCACTTTGGTGATGATAGCAATAATGTTCCTAATAAACGGCTTTAATTACAGAAATTAAACTTTTTTTAGCCAATAAGGTATTTAAAAAAAATGGTGTCCCGTTGTAGCTGCAGCGTTGCATGCATGTATCAGCAGATATACTAGATTACGTTCCCTTTATCCTGGCAAAATAACTGACTGCACCCATGTTTATTAAATTTTTAGCACTCAGTACTCTCAAAGGAGTTCTTGAGCTGTCCTCTGTCAGCAGTGGCTGTTCCTTTAATCTCCGCTTGTGTCACTTTTTTTGCCAGCAGTCTAAGAATCAAACCAAGAACGGCGCACGGGACAAAACCAAGAAACGTTGCTTGTTTGTGATTATTAAAGAAGAGAGAAATCTTAGTGCCGGCGGTCCATAAACACTGCACGAGGCAGATAAGGCCAGCAGCTAACGGCAAAAGGAGTCACTCTGGATAAAAGGGTTGCAAAATAAAGCACGACCAAAGTGAAAAGTCACATTAAAGTACAGAGAATGGCTGCAGGCGGAGTAGCTGGTGATTCTGCATAATTTAAAATGTGATATCAAGCTAAGGGTGCTGGCTGAGTTTACTGGGTCGAGGCCTCAGTGTCCAATATGCTCATCTTCCGAGAGTACACACGTATATGCATACACAGGCTTAAAACACACACACGCGCGCACACACACACACACACACACACACACACACACACACACACACACACACACACACACATAGTGAAATGAAGGAATTTGTACTCCAGGCCTGTTTGAGATCAATTCACACACTCTCATGCACACAAGAGTCAAATGTGTGTGTACAAAGCCAGGGGACATTTTCCACAGTTTTTCTTTGCCACTTTAGGTGTGTTTCATATGGCTAGTGGAGCCTTTAAGGAAACAAAGGGCCTCATAAATACATTATTACTCATATGGCATGACACTAAAGGCTCCACTCATTCCGTCTGATGTAAGTGAGTGTGTGTAGGAAAAGATAGGGGTGTATTAGTGTAGTAGCAGGAAAGTAATGGGGTCCTGTAAGAAGGTCTCTGCTTGTACATTTTAATATCTATTCAGAGCTGAGTGAACAGACACACGCACACTTGGATCCCACCTGCCCCCGTGATCTCATGCATGAACACTGAGCACATTTGCATATACCTGCATCTACGGAGTTGTGCACATTCTGACCTCTTTTCTCTTTTCTGTCATGCACGCAGACCCAAAGAGCTTTTCTTCGTGACCAGACTTCTCGATTGACATGTTTTAATATTTCATGAGGTGGTCTATATTTAGATGCCCATTAGAGGCACGTCGAGTCTGCAACACAAATGAAACTGCATGCACGGTCCCAAATAGCTGCTCGCAACACAGCCGCAAACACCAGCATGAAGCAGCGTGAAGACACTCGGTGTACTCTGCTGCTGTGTCACATTAATCTGCTCAGCAGCTCGAGTAAAAGGCATGGATTCTGCTGCTCCAGTGGGCATGGGTTACAGGTGTGTGTGGGCGTATGTAAACATCTCTTCATTTGTCATACAGGTATTATATTTCCTATGCATGCATGTGCTTGGCTGTGTGCTAAGTAGTGTGTACTTTTAACTAAACGAGACAAAATAAAAATGTAAGTGCAACCGGCAAACAGCCCTGTGTGGTTAGTTTAGTTTTACGAGTGAGTTAAAAAAGCTGTTCTGGTTTTCTAAAAAAGGGCAGA